GGTCAGAGGCAGAGAGTGGTTAGGTGATGGGACGGCGGGGTAGGCAAAAAGGGCCTACTCGTGACCTAATTGCCAGGCTAAGGCCGCCCCTTTACTACTACTACTACTACTACTACTACTACTACTACTACTACTACTACTACTACTTGTCCACCTCTATGTGGTGGTGCATCATCGTACTGATGCCACATATTTTGAACAATATTAAGCCTAACGATCATTTATTAACATGGACAGAAAGTAAATTATTGTTAAAAATGCTACCCCAAACGTACTACTGAAACGTTGCTGAAATCGTCTTGATCTAATCGCATGCAGATTTTGTAACGCATAGATATGATTATTATTTATGCCCTAGTAAAACACGCTTCATCAGACTACATGACAAGCGAAACGAATCTATCATTTTGTGCATGTTATTGAATATTGAAGTAACCAACGACAAAATTCTAATCTCTGAGCAGCATCTCCAGTATGTAAAACTTATACATTTTGGCGATGAAACGGATGTAACATTTCTCGTTTCAATACACACCATACAGGTCATAAATGGAGATTACTTGCTATATGCCGAACACTAATTCAAGAGTTGTCAATGACAGCATCTGTTAACATATATGTAATATATATATCCTTCATTATGTACATTCACTTCAGTAGGGCCAATTGCCTTTTTGGAGCGGGATTACCTTCTGCTCGAAGTCTACGAAATGATGCACTAAAGACTGTGTTGGCAGGTTGATGTCTATTTGGATATCTTCATCGGTATTTTCGGGCTGGCTTGTCTGGCGTTTTCATTGGAATACCCACATACAAAGACAATATCCGCATACTCTTCAGTTGTAAATAAATGCATATTTAGCACTTTAACGTTAAATGAATGAACAAAATGACACAAATAATAATTATTGCTTTAGCAACCATCATTTGATTGAAATATAAAATTATATTTTTTAACATTCTTATAACTTCTAAACAAAAACTAATTGGACCTATGTTCATATAAGAAAACATTATTGAAATTAATCCAACCACCATCTGTTAAAGTTTGTCATAGAGCTTGTAAAACACCCTCTATACGTAGGGAAAATTCAGGGAAAAAATTACAGATGGTAAATTTGGTAAATACAGCCAGTGATAAATATACTCAATTACATTATAGTTAATGCATAATATACACATAACAGAATAAATAACTTTCATTTTATCAGCTCTGATAAAATATATTTTGTTGTTCAGGTGACGGTGAATTTTGAGAAGCTGCACTTACAGATATGTTTGTGACAGGACTGTACTCAATTATTTTCATTTATGTCACTAAATGTTCTAATATAGATTCTACTAAAGGGTCCTATTAGTTTATAATCTATAAGCATTTTTATAAAATACATTGACTCCAATAGAGCAGATTTTGAGAGCGTGCTGTTTTATGATGTAGCCTTCATAAATGTTTACAAGCCACGTAACCAGTAATTTTGTCTGAAACAGTAATTTTATATCGTTCATGTTAGCCATTAAATTTCGGTGAAATTAAAAATTATTCGTCGTGATTCAATGTACCAGATTCACTTTGATTTTCTAACATATGTTAAATATCAAGTCTTATTTTATTAAATATACAATGCAAAGCTTGTCAAGATCTTAGAATACATTGAAGCAGTGCCAGTTTTAGATATAAATTGTCCCTAGGTATTCTTTTTCAAATAAAATAATTGATCCAGTTTGTGATCCAAACACAAGTACATTAAGTGTCGTTTCTTTATTTGAACATGATTACGTAAAAACCATGTTTGACCTTTCGCCGTATGTAGAAGATGTGGTATCATATATATAGCGGGCTTTGTAACTTCACAGGTTATAAAAATAATTTCTTGTGACATTTACAAAAATTATATAAAGGGAAACTACTCGTCTCCTTTTATTATATAACAGTAAGAGTTCACCATGAAACTTCTAAGGTTGTTAATCTATTAGAAGTAAGTTCACAAAACTAGATATATGTATTTTGTAATAAACACGAATTCTCATGCGTTAGCAAAATGTGGAATTTCCAACTATTGATTGGACACGTAAAAATTTGCTTTAGCCAATTTCATCAATACATTACCTTTAATTAATAAAAATCCTCAATCAATAAAACCTTATAAGTATCCATAGGGTGTAAAGATATACATTTTTACTTATAAACAAATTTTGTCTTTTTTATTTTTTGCTAGATTCATCGCTTCATGCCAGTTTGTTCCTCTTTTCTTTAAGTCTTCTGCCACTACTTGGTCCCATGTTTTTATGGGTTTGCCTCGTTTCCTCTTTCCTTTTTTTTTTATTTACCAAATCATTTTCGGCTGTCTTTCTGTTCATAACCTACCTTCGGAAATGACAATGACGTTAACCGACCAATGGGAAAATGATCATAGCGCATGCGTATAACACACAAAGTGCAACACCACCAATTTTTTGGCTTCAATTCCCTTTCAAAATGCTTTGTATATGTATAGAAGTATGTGGTTTTATCCTGACACAATGAAGTATTAACTGTAACTAACAATATTGGCAATATATACCCACTGACCCTCAAAAATTTAAATACAAAAAAACACAAACAAAATATATCCAGTACAGTCCTGTGCACACATTCGGAATTCGTTGAAGACGTATATAGTAACCTGATTAATTGGATATTGGATCATGAATAACCACAGGAAACAAACGTAATTCCAACAGGTATTAAAACGTCGTAATAGTACGTCTAGAACGAAACCACAAGCTCAAGTTCAATGATCATTGTAAATTTTACGATATTGCAGTGATCGCTCTAAAGATTTTGCATGGGTCATTTATTTCTGTTCTCAGGTGCGTACCAATCGTACCATAAATAGTAGCATTCATAACAAAATACAAAAACAGCTGTCGATTTATTTTATAGTTTGAAATTATTCAACTGGTAAAAAAACTATTTGACGCTAGTATCGAATTATCGATTTGGATAGAACTTTTGGTTTTTTCGTACAACACAATTTCTGAATAAGTTCAAAGTTAATAGTTGATAAAATGAGAACCAAAGAACACAATTTCTGAATAAGTTCAAATTTAATAGTTGGTGAAAGTTGCTTAAACATAACGAGCAAAAAACTATTAATAACTTAGTGCTTATTGATTCACACTTAGCGATTGTACAGACCTATAAAAGCGAATGATTGTTAGGGTGCGTTTACACGGAGTCTTACAATCTTAAGATTGTAAGACTAAGCTCTAGAGCGGGCAGGTTTGAATCAATGTAATGCTCGCTCTGAATAAGTAAGCCAATGATTTAAATTTTTCCCAGTCGCAAATTACCTACCTCAAAGTTAACTGCAATCGTATAGCGGTGGATGTGGGAGCTCGAACAGCAAGTTGTTTTGAATTGTTCGGTCCAACTAGTGACAATAATTCATCAAACAATTCAGGAGACATTCTGAAAAGATTAGAATATCCTTTGTCATAAATCTGTAGATTGTCACTTGCTCCTTGAGACATTCTATTGATTCATCTGAAGATCTCTGATACCCAAATACATTTTGTTTTATTCTTAGACTTCTTTATCTAAATAAAGAATTAAAAATTTGATAAATCTTAAGAGTAGCAGATCTTTCCCAACCCAAACTATTTTGCTGTTTTTTCAACAGCAATAGAATTACTTTTTTGAGGTTAATCTATTGACTACGTCGAGTCATAAACCTAGAAAACTATAAGGTCTATGCGTCGAGTAAACAATATACGACGAATAAAAATATGACGTTATCTACACGGATAGAAAAAGAGTTCTTTTATACGTTTGCTACTTTTATAAAAAAAAATTATTGTTGCAATTTATAATTATAAACAAAAAGTGTTTCATGCAAACCGCCCGCTCTAGAGCTTAGCCTGTCAATCTTAAGATTGTAAGACTTCATGTAAACGCACACTTATTTAAAAATAAAGTTAAGGGGTCGTATTTTCAAATATAACAAGTATCAACAAGTCACATACCAACGCCACTTGACATAACCTAACTTAGTTCCTATAAACATATACGAAACCACTTTATTTTCGGTACACAGAATGTTCAAGATGAATGATAATATGGATTTTATTTCAAGTTGTATAAGAAGTAGTTAACATGGTTTTATTCAAAAAATTATTTTGTCATAATAGCGGATCAAATTTCAAATAGCTTTGGAAGCAGGAAGAGTGTCAACAAAAGCCACTGCGACCACTTCTGGAACTATGCCTTTGTTTGTTGCAATAAACCTATGTCGTGGTTATACATCTGTGGACAATAAGAAGTTAAAACTGTATAGCAAATTAGAATAAAATTGCTTCAATATTTCTTTTTTTATTTGTTTAATAAAATCAATGTTTTTTCTCATTTAATTCTTAACCATCCACATAAAAATTTAATTTCTTTTCTTAGCTGCCATAAGAAAGCATAACCAAAATTGAATTTGTGGTCGAAATTGTAATTTTACGGGGAAATCCCCTTCGGCCGAAAGCATGTGGCGCCACTGGCTTGCCGCGCTGTATCACTGGTGCGTTGCCAAGTCGAATATCCAAACAATCCAGACTTCGCCAAATTTAACAAGTCAGCGCAACGCATTCATTAGATTAGTACAACAGCTCATACAATAAATAAATAAATTGGTTTAAAAAGTTCTAGTTCTAGCACCGTTTCCAGCTTAAATAAATTTCAACAACAGATGATAGTTATTTTTTAGTGTGTTGCTCAAGGTACATTATTTGATGTAAGAGAGATATACAATTAACGATAAAAATAACCACCGTTCTAGATAAGCAAATTTATACCACTATAATATCCTGTTCGAAATCGCAACTGATAGTGAGCCATGTAGTTAGCTCAGCGGTTATTTATTATTTATATTCCATGTGTGGTTTTTGTTGGTGTGAAATAATGGCTTTTATTTAAATTTATGAATATATTTCAGAGTTGTTACAGCAGGTTAGTAAGTTTATTATTTCTTTTATAGGTGAATGGTGTGGTTTTACATGGTCGTTGCCATCTAAATGCTTCGGCTATTATTAAAGGCCTATCCGGACCAATATTTAAAGTTATAATATTAAGGTAATATTAAAACCACTGAATACACATTGTACTTTAATTAAAGCAGTAGTTTAATTTCAATCTGCACAATGATAGCATGCTGAAGTTATATATATTTAATTAATTAATTTGGTGTTACTTATTGTTTAAATATATTAACTGCTTGCATTTGTTTAACATATTTTTTGTTTTCGTTATTGGAAAGTTTTTAATATTTCTGTTTACTAGTCTCAATATATGTGACCAGATATACACGTTCATTATTTTATATATGTGAATCTTTAGTTGCCTATATTATTTTGTTTAAGTAATTAGATGAAATTACCTAATGTATCTACTACCCGTACATAATATCTACCTGTTACATATTTAAAACATGGTACACATAAAATAACCTCTACACTCTAGAACGTAATCGTTAAATTAATTCGATTGTAAAGATAATTAAAAGCCTAAATTTTAAATGTCACTTCTATGCAACTGTTAAGGTTATTATTTTTTAACACTCCATTTTGCATTAATTGCTCAAGGTTTAGCAATTTATTTGTTTTACTAATTTTTTTTGCCTCTATTACTATTATTGTTGGCTCGAAAAACGGGTTTTTGTTAACATGAACGTTTTTCTAAGTATATTTGTGCAGGTTAAGTGTAATGTTGACACTATTGTTTCCTCAATATTTTCTTTTATTGAGGTATTTCTGGTGACTCACAAGGTTTGTGTTTATGTATAATGTTTTGTGTATTTTTAGGCGAAAAACTGCCATCGATGACATCGCTGTTAAACCCATCACACAGTTCCCTATTTCGTTGGCAGAGGAGGTGAGTTTCCACATTTTTCTTGACTGGAATTTACCTCAATCACGCAGATGCACGCTTAAATTAAATCATTTTTTGTTGAAAATATGCGGATTTTTAGAAAATGTCTTGTACCCCATTAATAACGTAATTATAAAATTCGAGCATAATCTACAGTTAGAGAAATGGAGACTACGATTTCCATCGAAAATAGTAATGTCTACACAGGGTGTATTTAAAGAAAGGAACATAACTGCTACCAAATAATCTTATGTTCAAAATATGATAATTGGGCCAAATATACCTTGGGTCAGAAATGCTTCATTTGCAAGATACAGTTTGAAAAATACAAATATGTATACCTATCTCAACAGAGTTGTTACGTATATTAATAAAACTTGAGCTGGTGATTTAACTAAATAAAGACAAAAATTTACATTATATACCTACATCGGTGTAAACAAGTGGCAGAATATGTACTGGGAGACACCCTACCAAGAATCCCGAAACTTTCTATAATATTTTTATTGTAAGTGTAAATTTAAAGTTTTCTTTATTGCACTGTAGGATAATTTTATTTTAAGCTAAAAAAAAATACATGAAAATTACACCTCTTGTGAATCAAATGAGAGAGTTCTTTTTTTGTTGAAATACAGTTGCAAACCAAATGAAGCTATAAAATTACCAAAATACTTAATGACGTCGAAATTCTTTGATTTTTATTTAATGTTTTCCAATATCTCCTTCACTAGTTAATATAATTATATACAAATTGAGTGAATTTTTACATTTATTTGATTAAGTTGTAAGCCCACATTTCATTAATTTACTTCAGATATCTTTCAAGATATTTGTGACATTTAAAAAAAACTTAAAACATCCTGTAACTTGCAAATGAAGCAATTTTAAACTAAATATTTGACTCTATTATAATATTTTGACATCGATCTAGTAACAATGATATCCTTTTATTTAAATACGCTGTATATAAGGAGTATTTATCTTACACAAATTATACACAACTCTAACTCTACCTCACATTTGGGAGTAACCTACTCAATATAATAGTTTAGTCATGCATTCATTTCAAAAATGAGAATATAAAAAAATTGGTAGCATTTTGATCATCAGGACTAAAATTGACATACACAGTATGAAATTAATTTATTGTTGTGTTTTTAATGCAGAAAATTTAAATATTAATTCTATATGCACATTCTTTAATATTGTTACTTAATGTATTTAAATTTAATGTAAAACAATTTAATGATATGCCTTTAAAACGGCATTATGAATTTTTAAATGCAAATAATTATTCTATTTGCCGCAAAAATAAAAAATTTCAAGCTAAAAATTTAAGTTCTTGCAAAATGAATTGAATTGAAATAAAAGAAAATTTATTTCTTGTAGAAAATATTGAGACATAATGCCATACTGATAATCCTTTGAAAATATTATTTTAAAAAAATATTTGTTACTTTATTTGGTTTCATTGCATTTGTACCTGATGGAACATTTTCCATCACATTTCTTTTAAAAGAGCAGAAAATAAAAACCAAAATAATTCATTAGCAGTTTAGTTTTTATTTCAAAGTTCACTTCATTGTATCGTTCATTAAAAACTCACCTAAGGTTATATTTTCAATGAAAAATGCTAATGACTAATGATAATTATGTTTACATAGTGTTTATTCCAAGAAATATAATGTGTAATATTTTATTTACTTAATTATCAATTATTACCTCACTCCAATTAACTTTTATTTATTTTCTGTCTTGATATCAACTAAAAATGACTTCTTGGAAAAATTAAAGGGAACATTTAATTATCAACATTTCACTTCAGATTGTTAATGAAAATGTTCAATATTGTTTAAAAATAATGAATTTAAGTGAAATTTAATATAATTTTCTCTTGGTACTAATTTAAATATCTTTAATTCAGCTTCTACATATGATTTTTATATAATTTAAAGGAAGTTTTCAAGTTTATGGAAACTATTAAACAATCAAGAAAATGTTTCGACACTTCTAAATATCCAAGCAAACTTGTTGTTTCCTTATCTACCTAGATTGAATAATTAGTTATAATGACCGAAGGTCACTGAACAACTATGTGTTGATGATAACTTACGGGATTTTCACAGAGCCTATACGAATATAATGCATTTAAGCTTTTTAATACACTCATGCTGCATTGACTCTATTGATGTTAAGTGTGGCATAATCGCTGGGTATGAAACAGCGATCGGGTTTAGAACGTGATTGATTTCTTTGGCAGCATGTTTTGCTATGTGTTGTTTGAGGTTGTTTTTGTTTCTGCAGGCCTCCGAAGAACAATTTAGTGCTAGCTATCCAAATGTGCGCACCATCGCTATCAAAAAGGTATGGCCAGCTTTTCTACTCTGTATATACACATACAAGTACTTCATTTTATTTCACGCCATGGATTTTTTCTTTATTTCAAACAAAACCTACAAGCCAGCTATGGGAAACTTTCAGTGTTCTAGATTATAAATGTTTTAAAAATAACTTTTTTCACCATTCATCTTCAATAAAGAAAAAATCTTAAATTCACCCTCACATTGACATGCTAAAGCCTAGTCACTACATGATTTTATTATTTTGTTAGATTGATTTACATTTTTTTCTAATTATTTTCCATTGCCTTTTCATTTCATACAAGAAGAAAACACAGTTATCATTCTATTTTTGATTTCTCAATTATTAAATAATGTTTTCTGTATTATGTTAAAGCAGGGAAACCAAAGTTTAGGTATTATGATAATTGAGGGGAAACATGCGGAAGTTGGACAAGGCATTTTTATCTCTGACATTCAAGAGGGCAGTTCAGCGGAAAAGGTATATGAATAATGATTTACAAGTACAGTTGCTCTGATATAGTCATTGACTTGAAAACTATGTTTTAAAAAAAAATGTAACTTCGTAAAGAGCAACTTGCATTGTAAAAAAATCACTGCTAAGTGCTGTTATGAGTGTTTTATTTTTCTCTAAAGCTATATATGTTTTCTTTGAAGGCTGGCCTAGAAATTGGAGAAATGATATTGGCTGTCAATAAAGATTCTCTAGTTGGTTCCAATTATGATACGGTATGTATTTGCTTGCGTTTGATCCGGCTTTGTGTATACGAATACACAAAAGTATATCTATGCATTTATCACAATAATTGTTTATAACTTTAGAATAGTATTTGATTTTCATTTTTTATTATCAGAACTAATAAAAAATTGTTAATCTCCATTATATTTAAATGCTTAGGAATAGAAAGCAGTAATTTAAATATACGTTCATCAGTAGCATGTAATCATTTAAAGTGATAAAACTACGGCATCAGTAAACACCTGTATGTTTGTTTACTGTAGCTAATCTATCTTTACTGTACACTGTATTAGGTTGATAGCATTCTTAAGGTAATTGTAAACGACTAATTCCTGCACACTGGCTCCTATATTTTAAATAATTGTAGCTATAATATATATTTTTTTATAGGTACTCATAATAACTCTTAAATCAATTATTGTGAACTGCATGAAGATTGACGTTATTTTACAGGCCGCCAATCTGCTGAAGAGAACGGAAGGTCTGGTAACTCTAGTGGTATCGAACCCTGGCAAGAGGGAATCTGTTCCGTCTCCATTACCTGCTGCTACGTTACCAGTGAATAATGCTGTCGTGGAGAATAATAAAAATGTTATTTCAAAGCTCGTAACTCTGAAGCCTGTGGCCCCACATTCTAGACCCACTACCCCAGTACCTGGTAAGTTTTTTAAATATTGTCACTATAAACGTGCATGTTCAAATTGTTTCTTCCAGAGCCAATTGCAGATCCTCTGACTTGCACGATAGTTCCTGGAAAGGAAACGACTATCGAGGTTGTTACCGATAATAAAGGTTTGGGAATTTTCTTCATCGGAGGAAAAGATACCCAGATAAATGTAAGTGTAACTAAATCTACGGCTACGGTTGATTTGATTTAGTTCTTTGTTTTGCGTGTTAATTATATTATTATTTTAGAATGGAATAGTGCTGGTGGAAATATATCCTGGAGGTACCATTGACAAAGACAGAAGACTGCAACCTGGCGATCAAATTTTAGAAGTTAACGGAGCATCCCTAAAGGATGTCACCAACACAACAGCTTCACAAGCTTTGAGACAAACACTGCCAAAGGTACATCTATTTTTATTATTTGTTTCTAAGAATAATATTCTGTAGTTTCATTTGTTCTTCTTTCTATTTATTTTGGTATAGTCCAGTCAATGACTATTTTCCCGTATAATTTTGCCAAACAGCACCGATTTTCATAAAAATGTAGATTTAGGTTCTACTTACCCTCTACTTCAAAGTTGACCTTGTACCGAGGGTTGCTTTTACCCTGGGGGTGGATGCCACCCCTTCTCGGGTGTGAAAAATTATTCATTGAAAATAAATCTGGGAATGGATATGTTGACTAATTCTAAGCAACTTTTGTTCTATAAAGTTTTTTCTGAGTCAATAATTTTCGACTTATTTGAGAAATTTTTTATCAAAAAAATCACTGTTATAAAAAATGTAGCTTATAAAAAAAACAAAAAGAATGCTGTGTTTATTGTGTATCCAATACAAACGGAGTAATAGCTTGTTGAAGGTTGGTTCTTATTCGTCAAACGCCAAAATTGAAAGTTTGAACGTGAAATAACCAAAAACCAATGCATTTTTCAGGGAATACTCATAGAACCTTTTTTAAAGTGCTTGAAAAAACCTTTATTTTAATTTTTTATAAAAGTCCCTAGCATCAAACCTAAGCGAGTTATGACGAAAATAAAGTTGCTCCATATTTTTTCCCGCGACAAGAAACGTGAAAATTACCCCCTAATTACCATACCAATCGAAAATAATTGTTACCACTTTACAATTTACTTTATTTTTGTACTTGTAATATGCTCTAGAAGTTTGATCGGTTTAAAGTGCTGAGGGTTGCTTTCGCTATACAGCAAGAAATAAACACTCTCTCAACGGTAATAATAAAGAATTTTATTGAAAACTGGCATACAGAAAACTTGTGTATGGAAAGACGTGTTAACAGGGTGAGTGTTCGTTGGAGAGTAGTTGGAGAGTGCCTTGTTGTTGAAGTTGGTCGTATATCGGGTACGCGTCTGGTGGCCGGCATCAGCAGCCCTTCTTGGAACGCTGGTTCGTCCGGAGTAGTCCTGCGGCGCTCTTGACGTTGTGCTTTCTAATATGGGTCACTTGCAAACATGTGTACCCACAGTGCTTAGTTTTAGAAAAAGTTGAGCTTGAAGTGAAAAGAGTATTTTTGTATTTTTGGAAAAAATTGTCTTTTCCTCAAAATAATTCAAAAACTATATGATACGGAAAATTTTGTAGAGTACAAAATTGTAGGTTTTGCTTTTTTGAAAATTTTGTTTTTTTTCTCTAGGTTAAAAGTAAGATATGGCCGTTTAAAGTTTGCATATGTTTGTAAATAGCAACTTGTTCAAGTCCTTTCAGCTCAAACCCTTACAAAAATAAGGGCTGAAAGAAAATTTAACTTATTTGATCTTATAGCCCTTGAAAAAACCTACAAAATGGTTTTTTGAAGGGCTTGATAGCATAAAAACTAAGCGAGTTATGGGTAAAAAACCAATTACATATTTTTGCAGATATCAGAACACGTATATTGAAGCATTGATGAATACACATTATAGCTATCTTTTAGGAATAGAAATAGGAATTTTAGGAATAGAATAGAAAAGGAAGACGAGAGTGAAGAGGATTTTTTATTGTTATTTGCAAAAAAAAATTGTTTGTTATAAAAATTAAAAAAAATTAAAATTCATATAAAAATAAAATTCTTATTTTCCCTATTTTTTATTGCAAATTTTAATCAGTAGGGGTTTTTTTAAGGTTTAATAAAATAAATTCATTACATTTTAAATAATAAAAAGATTATATTATATTTTGAACTAAAAAAAAAATTTTAATAATAATTGTTTGATTTTTTTGCAAGGGGTGGTTTTTATAAGGGTTGAAACATAAATAAATAATAGAAAATTAAAACGGTAAAGAAATCAATTTAATATCACTATATAAATAAATTATTCCAAGGTGCTGAATAATATTTTTTAACATTATTTTTTAATGATTACTGTCATAGGGGCTGGTTTTTAGGGATTGACAATTTTCAGTTCATCATAATTACTTATTTAATGATGATTACAATTATTATATAATTATTTTCGAATAGGGGTAGTTTTTACTCCTAAAATATAAAAAGCAACCCCGGCACAGGGTCAACTTTGAAGTAGAGGGTAAGTAGAACCTAAATCCAAATTTTGGTGCAAATCGGTGCTCTTTGGGAAAATTATACACTTATACAGTAACGCCGCATTTTACCTTCAATGACTGGACTAGTATTCTTGCGACCTGTAAGAATAATTTGTAAAAAACAAATAAAGTAAAGTAAGTAGAAAAATTATGCCACAAATAAATTACTACGTACAATGTCCAATTCTTTTGACACAGAGATAATTTGTTTTACGGGTGACAAAATATCCAAGTAAAGAGAAAAAGCTTAAATTATGTCACAAATCGCCATACAACTTTTCATTTGGTCTTTGAAATATTTTGATCTTTTTTTGCACATTAAGGCTATTTAAATTAAAAAACTAACCAGACATTGTACACATTTAAATATACCTAATTTAAATTCATGGCCATGTTACAGAATAAGTGCCATTAAATGATCAACTGAATGACTATTTAGAACCTAAATTGTAATTGATGAGCGATAAATTTTTTTAATGCCATTTGGCAAATTTAATTAATCGAAATAATATTTAGTAAGATAAGGTGTGAAAATAATAACACAGTTTATTTACATATTTTTTAGATGAAAATGAGCGTATATAGACCTAACAATATCGAGTATTCTACAATAGAAGTTGACCTAATTAAGAAACCTGGAAAAGGACTAGGATTAAGTGTTGTAGCTAGGAAATCTGGAAAAGGGGTATACATAGCTGATATAGTAAGTAAAAATTATTTAATATACAGAGTCCTGCACCTTAGGGCTACCACACATAAACACGTTACGACATTGCAACATGCCACGATACACGGCACCACTTCGTCCATAAGATACCTCGTGAATTTCCGCAGTTAATCTCGAAAAATGTACCGCACTAGACGTATTCTCCTCCTACTGTTATTAAGAAGACGGATAGAAAAGAAACAAAAATATAGAAGATCCATTTCTTTCAATCATCGTCGCACGTTACTACCTATGTCGTGACGTGAATTTTTAGTTAGTTTTCCACGACACGATGTCGCATTGTTACACGATGTCGCAACATGCCACATCACCAGTATGAGTATGGTTAGAGAAGTACATAGGAGATTTTCAAAATATTAATTTTTATATGATTGGCAAGTATTTGAAGTAAAAAATTCAATTTTTCACAAAAAAGGGACAATCATTTGTCAATAAATAATGTTAAAATCAAATCGGAATCTCTTAGGATTAAAATTTGGAGTGAATCGAATAAAAATTGTTGGAATCATGCTACATGCCATTTAAAAAAGTCATGCTTCGAGAAAAATTCCTTTAAAGTTTTAAGCCCAAATTTGAGTGCACTGTCCAAAATGGGGGAGAGGATTGACTTTGTAGCTGCAACAAATACTTCCGAAAATAAGCCATAAGCCATAAAGACAGAAAATTCTATTTGTTGTAAAATAAAACACAGTTTCGAAATAACCATTATACAATTAATACCGTTCAAGCTACACTATTATACACACTATAGTGTGTTATGGTGAAGATACAATTTTTTGTTTTGTTTACAGATAACCGGCGGAACAGCCGATTTAGATGGTAAAATAGTTAAAGGTGATCTACTGATTTCAGTCAATGGACAAAATATAGAAAATTTAACTGGAGAAGAAGCAGGGGCCATATTAAAGACTGTCATGGGTCGAGTTTCCCTTAAGCTGCGTAGATATAAACCTACTGCAAGATAATTAATTCATATTAAGTAAATCTTAATTCGTTTATTTCATTAATTTCACACTGATAACTCAACAGCACTCTGATAACATTTTTTTAACTTGTTGAAGTATAGAGTAAGGTCCAAAGTCCTTTGGATAAACTTTTGTGGCCAACAATGTTTATCGAAATAGCTTACAGTGAAAAGATACCAAATGCTTTATTGATGGGTATTCTCTTAAAATAATGTAGAACACGTGGAATTATCCCATAAAATTTATATGAATTTTTCATTTTTTTCCTAAAACTTTCTTTTCGAAAATGATAAAACGAAAAGTAGTAAATAAGATTAAAATTTCATATGAACATAAGTCTGCAAATGATATATTTTTAATATACAAGGTGATAAAAAGTTATTATTTTTTTAGTTATTTTCAGTTAGTTTACAGATTTTTTTAAGATAACCCTTTCGAATCCACTACATTCAACTCTTTTTTGAGGATAGATGAAATTTATGAATTATCCAAAATAATCTACAAGGTGATGCTTTTTTGGAACCAAGACAAAATTTAGACGCTCTAAATTTTTCTTTAATGCGAAGTAATACAAGTATTTTCAGAAAAAAACCATTTCTCATTATTTTTTTGTAGTGATGACTAAATAACGTCATTTAAAAATTAGTAGCATACCGAAGAAGTACCAGTTACTTTTTCTCATCTACAGGTAATTTTTAAATTGCTAAAATGTACCTCTGATTTGGCTTTTTTTATACTATTTGACATTTCTAAAGTAATCTCTCATTAAACATTTGACCATATTTAAGAAAAATTTTATTGTCAAGTATTAATGTTGATTTTAATGGAATAATTGGAATAGAGGGAAAATTGCCTATTTTAAATATTCAATCACCATTTTTTAAAATGACCGGTCGGTGTCATTTTTGGTCATTTTTATGACTGACAGAATTAAAATAGATGGGAATTTGGTCATTTTAAATATTCGATGTTCATTTTTTATGTGACCGGTCACTGACATCAATGATTTTAGTCATTTTGGGTAAGTCATAATTTAATTATTGAAATAGAAAGAAATGAATACTACACGGCAAAAACAATGAAAGTCAATTATAAATTGGAAATCATACATTTTAAATTAAAATTTACTTTCAGCAAATTTTAATTATTCAGCTGTTTTTTGATTTACAAATGTCACTGACTGATCATTTTGATTATTTTTGGTAAGTGACCGTCATCACTAAATTATTAAAATAGAAACCATATTTAAAGGAGAAAAATATTATTGAGAACTATAGATATTGATATTAAGGGAATAAATGAAATAGGTGTGAATTTGGTCATTTTAAATATTTGATGGTCATTTTTTTAATGTGGTCAGGGTCATTAGTCATTTTGATCATTTTTGGTATGTGACTGCCATCACTAAATTAATGAAATAAAAACCATATTTCAGGGGGAAAAATATTATTGACAAGTATTAATGTTAATTTTAATGGAATAATTGAAATAGAGGGAAAATTGCCTATTTTAAATATTCAACCACCTTTTTTATATATGACCGGCCAGCGTCATTAGTCATATTGGTCATTTTTTACCACTCGGAATTAAAATAGATGGGAATTTGGTCATTTTAAATATTTGATGGTCACTTTTTATGTGACCGGTCACTGACATCAATCATTTTAGTCATTTTGGATAAGTCATAATTAAATTATTGAAATAGAAAAAAATTAAGGCTACACGGCAAAAACGATGAGTCAATTTTAAATTGGAAATCATACAATTTAAATTTTAATTATTCAGTTATTTCCAAATGTAACTTATGATCGCTGACTAGTCATTTTGATTATTTTTGGTAAGTGACTGTCATCACTAAATTATTAAAATATAAACCATATTTAAAGAAGAAAAATATTATTGAGAACTATAGATATTGATATTAAGGGAATAAATGAAATTGGTCATTTTAAATATTCGATGGTAATTTTTTACGTGACTGGTCATTAGTCATTTTGATCATTTTTGGTAAGTGATGGTCGTCACTAAATTATTGAAATAGAAACCATATTTCAGAGGCAAAAATATTGACAACTATAGAAATCGATTTTAAGGGATTGAAATAGATGGGAATTTGGTCATTTTAAATATTTGATGGTCTTTTTTTTTTAATGTGTGTGTCAGTGTCATTTTGATCATTTTTGGTATGTGACTGTCGTCACTAAATTGAAATAGAAACCATATTTCAGGGGCAAAAATATTATTGACAATGACAACTATAGAAATCGATATTAAGGGATTGAAATAGATGGGAATGTGATCATTTTAAAAATTCTACCGTCATTTTTTTATGTGACCTGCCACTGACAACGATCATTATAGTATTTTTGGTAAGGGAGTGTCATAACTAAATTATTGAAATAAAATCATGTTGGTCATATTTGGCGCTGTCACTAATTATTGAAATAAAGGCTGTAATCGACCGCCATGTTTTGACGTCACCGACATCGATCATGTTAGTAATTTTTGGTAGTTGAATGTCAAGTAAATTATTGAAATAGAAACAAATATTAGACAATTTTAAATATCCGCAACAAAACCATTTTTGGTGGTGTGGAGGCTAACTTTAAATAAAACTATTAATATTGTTTCAAGTCTAAACCAGTGAATAGAGCTATTGTACTAATGTATGTACCAGGAAAGGTGTAAAATAACGATGAAATTTCAAAAAAAGGTGGGCCGAAGTTCACATGAACTTTTTTCTTATTTTTACTGAGAAAGCTGGTGGTATAATTTTGTCAGTGTAATATTGCAACACCTTGTATTTGTATTGTGCATCCTCTTATCTTGGTTATTATTAAAGATAGAAATTGCTGTTATTTGAATCTTGGCCACTTTTTAGAAGACATCTTCAAGTTAAAAAGGGATTTTCAATATATATTTTTTTTTTGGTTTTGGAGTTACATATACCTAGTCAAAAAATAAAAATTTTGGGTGACTCTTGTAGTTACATAATTATGACTTTTTTCTGAAACATTAACAATTTATTTTTTAGTTTTTCTGGGTGGCAATCTAATTATTTTTCTTTAATAGTTGATCATGGCTTCGTTTAAAAAAAAGGGTTTTCGTGCTTTTCAAATATATAAAATTAGTCATACTTACCTCAGAAAATAAAAAGTTTCTATTTATCCTAACAATCAATGATCTTATAAATACGCTGTTATTTCCCATCCTGTAATTCATTAAAAATTCAATCATTTACGAGAACATCGGACAACGTTAGATTTTAGGAACGTATGGTATCTATTACTTGAGCTGGTCCTTGCTACCAACTGTATGAATTTGTTTTTTCCATAGCTAGCTATATGCACAATGCTATTTAGTAGTGCAATTATTTTGTCATGGCCAACTTCTTTTTTTTTAATAAAAAAAAGAAATAGCTGTACCTAACCTAACTTTTCTTAATTTTTGAGAATATGGATATATTAACTATATTATTTTTGGAAAGTGTATAACATCCTTTTTTAAAATTATGCACTGATCTTTAAGTCCAGAAAAAAAAAAGAAAGTTGTGTGCCACTGGATTCCGTACAAGAAAATCTATAAGATAATGTGTTAAACATTTATGGAAAACGTTGTACTTGTAGCCTCGACAGGGATTATCAGGAATAAAAAATTTTTAGTTTTTTGTTTATAGCTACAAACCATATCAAAAACTTGTTTTAGGAGATGCTTTTCAAAATAGTGACTAACGTTAGCAAGAACTACAAATTTCTATATTTAATATTAACCGAGATACCATAGCATCGAATCAAAAATGAGATGCACCGTACAATTATACGCATTATTTGATTAAATAACAAATTGTATTTAAAAATATTTATGGGGTAATTTTACTTGGTATATCCTCAAGGTCACCTCCTCACAGACATGTCCCATATAAATATTAATCGATAAATTTTCATTAGTTAAGCCATTAAGTGATTGTGCAATTTATATCATTCACCGGTATTTGTTCGGTTGCCTTTATTTCATGCATTTTTGTTGCATTTATTTTATGTCCTAATAAAAACCTAGGTATATTAATGTTTATCTAGTCAAATAAGTTATTGTTGTTACTTAATTTATTATCTGTACGTATTTAGTGAAATAGGATACCTGCTTAAATTGTGATAAAACTTATTAAGAACTAGCAGAATGAAATAAGTATACATTAAATCGTTAATTTGTAACAAATATTTTGAATGTTTGTTTGATTTAAGAAAGTTATTAATGGAGTGTATCATATAACTTTCAAATAATAGATTTAAATTTAATATATAGAAAGGATCGTATAAGAATGCATGTATTATTTATTATTTTAGAATATTTTGCAGATATTTAGGTATTAGTGAATATATTGAACAGACTGTAATAATTTGTATATACTATTGTCTCTTGCAAGAGTTCACTACCTGTACTAAATCTAGGACTATTTTGTAAATAGCGTTATGCAATGTTGCATGCTAGAATTTTAATAAAATTCACTTTATCTCTTGCTATCACGTTGTCTTATTGGAAAAATGTTTGTTAAAAGGGCTCTATAGCAAATAGGCAACCAGCAATACATTTTTTAGATTTTATTACACAGTTCGACTTTCCTCCATTCTAACGCAGATTTTCTATAAAATGGAGTTAGTTTGAAACTCAAATAACTTTTTGATATAAAGAAATTTGTAATTTACCATACCGCTTGTTCAAAAGCTGCAAATTACAAATTTCTTTACAACAAAAAGTAATTTGGAATTCAAACTAACTCAATTTTATAGAAAATCTGCGTTAGTATGGAGCAGTCTGTTATTTGTGCATTGATTCATATTTAGACAAACTGTGTAATAAAATCTATAAAAATGCATTGCTGGTTGCCTATTTGCTATAAAGCCCTCCTAAACTTCTCCCTCCAAAGTTACCACTTTCCTAAAATGTATTAGAGCTCGATGTACTCGGAAACATGATAGGGTTGAGCATTACGCCGGGTAGAGGCATAAACTGATACACTGATATCTACAATCATTTAGTTAAGTATCATTTTCATGTTTTCTTCCTTACACCGTCAACGAAATTACAAAACATTTTATGCTATGGTGTTTTCCACTTTTAGCAGCTCCACCGATATGAGTCAATTTTAAAAATTTCGTGGAGTACTAAGTACTGCAGTTTTCACAGTTCATTTTGGCATAAATTACTCTATCTTGTTATCTGTAAGCAGAACGTGTACGTTGTTCAGACTCGAAAATACTGAGACCTACATTTAATAAACTTACGAGTTCAAAAACTTTTTTTTTTCAAATGGAACGACCCATATTAATTGCCATTGGTAAATGCAGAATTGAATAGTCTTTCGATTGATATACGGTTTCCATACTTATCTCTAACAGTTTTCCAGGTTCTATTCTAAAGTCCGAAAAAGTAGCTATGTAACAGCGTCAAGAAGGTCTTGCAAAACCACCTTTCTCTCACATTTTATCCGACCTGTGACTGACAGTGTCAATATTTACTGGCATGTTTAAAAAGTGGTTTGACAAACAAAAGTAAACCATTAACAACAACTAAAACAAGACGCAAAACTAAACAAACTGAAACTCGGAAAGTTGACAGTGCCGCGAGGAACAACTGCTCCGAGGGCTTATTTGCCCCTACCGGCATTGAATTATACTCGCGACACCTAGTGCAACAGCTAGGATCGTTTGTCAGTTTAACCCACCAGGCACAGACCGGTTTCGGACTTATTAGTCCTCATCAGTGTGTCATAGGTGCGACAACGGACAAACGACCCAGCTGTTCTTCGTCGTATCATCACGAAGAGGAAGTACATTGTACGCAGGAGCCAATGGCTCAATGAAACTGAAACTCGGAACACAACAAGAAGAAGAATACTTAGACCGCTGCTTTACATCAATTGCTCGAAGTGTCCTCCATTTGATTAATACATAAATGAATTCGGTTTTTAAAAGACTGTTCAACATTGATCAGCATGTCTGGTTTAATTTCTCGAAATGTTACTGTAATGCGCTGCCACATTTCTTCCGCGGTAGTTGGTGGTGTAACGTAAACTTTGTTTTTTACAAATCCCCATTAAAAAAAAGTCAACTTGTCATATCCGGACACCCTGAAAGCCAACTCACTGGTCTCCTGTGCTCAATCCACCTGTTGGAAAAAGTTTCGTGTAAAAACTGACGAACCTCAGCTGTATTGTGAAGTGGAGCACAATCATGCTGGATCCACATTCTTCGAAGTGTAGCTAAAGCAATGTCGCCTACCGAATTTTCTAGAGTGTTTGTTAAAAAGTTTAAATAAACTGTTCTATTTAGATGCTGGTCAAAAAAGAAGGGTCCAATGGGTGGAATGGGTTTCCAAAATTGCTCCCCACATGTCTAAAGATCAGCGTTGGCTATAAGTTGTCCAGAATTGGTGAGGATTTACTGTGTCATAATAATAGCAATTATGACTATTAAGGAAACCATTTTTGCAGAAAATAGCCTCATCGGAGAACATGGCTCGTTTAAAAAAAATCATCATCTTGATTTAACATCTCAAGTGCCCACTGACAAAACTATCCAGTCTCCTCCACTGAAAGTCTACTTTTAGTAACTCTTGGTGTAATTGGATGCGATAGAGATGTGCTATGCTGTGCTTTTGTAAAATCCTATGTATCGACGTTGTACTAATACAGTTGCAAGGCCTTCTTGATGCTGTTACATAGCTATTTTTTCGGACTTTAGAAAAGAACCTGATTTTTTTGGAAAACTGTTAGGGATAAGTATGGACAACCTTATATCAGTCGAAAGGGCATTCAATTTTGCATTCACCCATGATAATTAATATGGGTCATTCCATTTGGAAAAAAAAAGTTTTTCAACTCGTAAGATTATTAAATGTAGGTCTCAGTATTTCCGAGTCTGAATAACGTACACGTTTTGCTCACAGATGACAAGAGTAATTTATGCCAAAACAAACTGTGAAAACAGCAGGTTTCTAACTCTTATGATTTAAACACTATCTAGCCTCATTTTAGAGAGTTGAAATTGTGATTTTTTTCAAATACAACTGATTATCTCGAAAACGGTAAGTTTTAAACACCATGCATGTACATTTAATAAACTCTATTAACCAAGGAATTCAAAAACGCAATAATATAAAGGATGTTCCATTTAAAATAACGAAGTTATGTAGCGCCCATGCGAAATGGAACACTCTGTAAAGCTAAAAATATTTTCTACCATGGTCCATCCTCAAAGGGACGTTTCAGTAAATTTTTTGAAAATATTGGTCATAGGACCGCAAATATTTAGAAATATAAATAAAAATACTTGCAGGGTCCTGAATTGCATAAATCAAATTTTATCTAATCAACTATATTTGTCTATAAATAATTTGTATCCGCCCATTATATTAAAATACTGCTAAGGAGCTACCTATGGAAATACTAGCTTATAAGTTTCCATATGTCGGTGCTTCATTACCTACCTCCAAAACAATGCATGTTTCGACCTGTTTAGGGAATATTTTTCCTATATTAAGCTTGACATACAATTCAGTACATCATTTTAATTTTTTTATTAAAAGTTTTATTTAACTTTTAAAACGTAATAAAAGCCAAAAATTATCCTACTATATTTAAATTTAAAACTGTAAGATGCTAATAGATTCAATAAACAATATACAACACACACCAGGTTTTAATATACATTTAAATGATTGAATTTTGGTAAAATTAATTTATGGGCACCTCATAACGTCTTGAAATTGTGTTGCAGAAAAACATTTCTATCACGCGCGCTCGCTATGGGACCTATAGTGTAGAGGATTAGGTGCACGGAAAGTGCTAGATAGTACAACAGCGTGATGTTATTTTCATAGCGCAACGCTCCCCTTATGCTATAGGTCCCATAACGACTCGCACTTGTGATAGAAAATAATATGTGCAACTCGTTCGGAAAAGTTGCCATAGTGCCACTTGGGCACTTTCCGCACTCGCTTCGCTCGTGTGTCAACTGCGTCCGCGTGGCGCTATTGACAACTTTTCCCCACTCGTTACACAATGTACTATTATTACATTTTAATAGTAGAAGTATTTTCAGTCAAGTTAAACAAAACCATTTAGAATATAAAACTACTGGAATTAAAAAAAAGTAACAGTTAAAACGTGTTTAATATACCAAAGTATAAAACAGTTACGTATTTATATGTATAACCGACTACACATTCCAATTCCAAACAAATTTAACTGAAAGATTTGAAAGGTCCACAGAATACTAACAAAAAAATTAATTTTCCCCTTCTTCGCCCTCTTCCTCTTCATCAAATTCACCTTCTTCTTCTGCAGTAGCGTCTTGGTATTGTTGGTACTCGGAAACCAAGTCATTCATGTTACTTTCAGCTTCAGTGAATTCCATTTCATCCATTCCTTCACCTGTGTACCAATGCAAGAAAGCCTTACGTCTAAACATAGCTGTAAACTGTTCGGATATTCTCTTAAATAATTCTTGAATGCATGTTGAGTTTCCTATAAAAGTAGATGACATTTTGAGCCCCCTTGGTGGAATGTCACATACAGCTGTCTTAACATTATTTGGTATCCATTCCACAAAATAACTGCTGTTTTTATTCTGAATATTCAACATTTGTTCATCCACCTCCTTCATTGACATCCTTCCGCGGAAAATTGCCGCAACCGTTAAATATCTGCCATGTCTGGGATCGCAAGCTGCCATCATATTCTTTGCATCAAACATTTGTAACACAAGTTCGGGAACGGTAAGGGCGCGGTACTGTTGACTGCCACGAGATGTTAGGGGAGCAAAACCAGGCATAAAGAAATGTAGACGAGGGAAAGGTACCATATTGACTGCTAACTTTCTTAAATCTGAATTTAACTGTCCTGGAAACCTTAAGCAGGTTGTTACGCCAGACATCGTTGCTGACACAAGATGGTTTAGATCACCATATGTAGGAGTCGTTAACTTGAGAGTTCTAAAACAAATATCATAGAGAGCTTCATTGTCGATGCAATAAGTTTCATCTGTGTTTTCAACCAACTGGTGAACAGATAAAGTGGCATTGTAGGGTTCTACAACTGTATCAGAAACTTTTGGTGAAGGTACAACTGAAAATGTGTTCATTATCCTATCGGGATATTCTTCTCTTATTTTAGAGATAAGTAAAGTCCCTAATCCAGAACCAGTACCACCTCCTAATGAATGAGTCAGCTGAAACCCCTGCATACAGTCGCATCCCTCAGCTTCTTTCCGAACTACGTCTAAAACAGAATCTACTAATTCTGCTCCTTCCGTATAATGGCCTTTAGCCCAATTATTTCCTGCTCCGCTTTGGCCAAACACGAAATTGTCTGGTCTAAAAATTTGACCAAATGGACCTGATCTTACAGAGTCCATCGTTCCAGGTTCCAAGTCAACCAGAACGGCCCTGGGAACATATTTTCCTCCCGTAGCTTCATTGTAATAAACATTTATTCTCTCCAGTTGCAAATCTGAATCTCCGTGATAAGTACCTGTGGGATCTATGCCATGCTCGTCGGAAATAACTTCCCAAAACTAAAAAATAATTTGATATATGAGTCTAGAGTTAAATATATCAAAGGAACTGAATTACTTTTGCACCTATTTGGTTTCCACACTGCCCGGCTTGAATATGAACTATTTCTCGCATTTTACTTTATTTTGTGTAATTTTAATTTAAACAAATACCAAAAATATGGCAAATGTTTATTCTTGTTACTAGGGCCTTAAATTGTTTCGAAACTGCCGCCTCTGCAAAATTCAAACAACTGTCACTGGATAAATGTGAAGTATGAATTTTGCATTTCTAACCATCCAATCAATAGATTAGTAGACATGGAGATTTTGGGTGGTTCGGCGACACAATATATAGAATTAGTTCCGTTCGTGCCGAGGTGGCGCCATCGTCTAATATAAAGTCCACACTAAAGCCTGTAGAGGAAATAATTAGTTGTGGATGTGGTTGCTGTTAATCAATCCATATTAGTGATGGGCAAAACGATTCATTTTGATGTTTCGAATCAAATGACTCATTTCAAAGTTGAGAGTCGAAACTGGGAGCCGACTCTTCCGACTCCCAACTCCCATGGTAGATATCGAATCGCTAAGTTCGTAATTCGCATAATCACGGTGGCCCGTCTCGGAACGGACGGAAATAGCGGAATCTGGGCCGATTGACGAATTTTGTCGATCTTGAGCTTGACCGATAGTTCGATTACATATTTGTTTACTGAAACGACTAAAATTGAAATTAGTTCTTCCACTGCAGTCAAGGGTTATGTACTTAGTTCTTTCACTGAAATTTGTCGTCATACAAAAATGCGAATGAATGCGACGATAAAGCATATATTCTCTTCAAACGTTTACAAATACAAACGCAAACCGTTTGCTACCGTTTTTCCCTGTAGATTGTGGCCATTGTTGCCCACACTCTTTACTCCCTATCAGTATCAAACGACTTGCAAATCACTAAATATTAGTGATCACAGGCACAGCTACACGCCGATCCAAATCGCAAAACGAATCTGACTCACATCTGACCAGAGACAACAGAATTTGTCTCTGCATCTGACTCTCGGCCCTGGTGGTTCAGCTGTACACTATAACGGATTCGACACTCCACACGGAAGTCGGTGAATCATCGGAGTCGACTCTTACATATTTTGGGAGTCGACTCAGATGATCTAAGCCAAGAGTCGACTCTCTGATTCGAAACATACACTCACTAGCCAACACTAATCCATATCCTACAAAGCCGACGCGATATAACTGATTGTGACAGTTTTACAAAAATCTGTCTTAGACAGATAAGGTACCAAAATATGGGACCATAGATGATTTGATCCATATTACAGATACATATATGAGATTTTGTAGACATGAAATCATTGTGAAATAATAAAAAATATGGAATGTATTTTAAATATGGAGGCAGCACCGCGTGTTAAAAAGTGTAGACGCTGTAAAGAGAAAGAGTGACAGTTCGGGTACTCTCTCTTACTCTTTCTAATCGTTGAGGAAGGACCATAGACAGTTTTTAAGGTCTATGGGAAGGACACGTTCTGCAGTTTACGGACCGTGGAGGAAGGAGTTGCGTTGGCCAATTACGTGCATGCCCGAGAGAAAAAGATAGTACTCAAACTATCTCTTTCTCTTTCTATCACTCGTCTACACTGTCGCCGTAAACGTGATGCCTCCATGTAGTATTATGCTGTAATGTGTGATGTATTGGCTCGTTTCTGTTGAAGATAAAAATGTTGGTATTTGATGTTTGATGACAGTCTTAACAATTTTACTTGATAGCTTTGTTCGTAAACCTTCCACTGCTGCACTAGTGTAGTAATACGTTAGCTTTGTTCGTAAACCTACACAAAGTGTAGTGTAGTGTAGTGTAGTGTAGTGGAATTCAGTGTTACACTAAAATAATAATTGTGCACCACTTTTAGAGAAAACATTTGGCTGTTCGTTAATTCAATTTCGGTAAACTTAAACTGACATAACCTAATTGTAAATCATGGAGAAAATATTTGTGATGAGTGAATTATTTAGTGACTGGAAGCGAATCGGATTCAGATGATGAAGATTACCTTCGTACAAAAATAAAAATTCATGTTTTATTGGAGACCTGTTTCCAAAAAAATAAAAGAAAGTGCATTACAAATTTTATAGAACTTGTTCGAAACTGTGAGGAAGACGAATTTTATCAGCCATTTCACAGTAAAATCAAATATTGCCAAATTTTTTATCTAAAATATCTACCAAGATGTGACATTTGTGATAAAAGTTTCATTTTCGCGCCACAAATATACTACACTACACTTTTACACCACCNTAGGATCTATGGGCAGAAAAAAAAAATTTGCTGACCATGCTTTAGTCTTCATGGTCCAAGGGTTAAAAAAAAATGGAAACAACCCATTGCATATTTTTTTACTCAAAATACTGTTTCCAGTGAAGTTTTAGAAAAATGTGTGGTGGAAATTATTAATGCCTTAACTTCAATTGGCTTACATGTAAAAGCTACAGTGTGTGATCAAGGTCCAACTAATGTAAAAGCTTTAAAAATCCTTTGTCATAATAATAACTATTTTTTAAATAAAAACCAAAAAATTTATATTTTATATGATCCACCACATCTCCTAAAATCGACTAGAAACGCTCTTTTAAACTACAATATAATTTATAACGATAATAAAATAGCTAAATTTGATCACATAAAACAAGTTTATGACATAGATAGTGCTAAAAGATTTCAAGCCCTTCATAAGATTAAAAGGGGCTATTTATATGATTTAAAATCCAATCCTCAATTAAAAATGAAAGTTTCAGTAGCAGCAAAAACTTTGTCCCACACTGTAGCTGCTGCATTAGAATCGATGTATGCTGACACTAATTATTTAAAGAGCGAAGCAATGGCAACCGCAGAGTTTGTGGAAGATGTAAATAACTTATTTGATAGTTTTAATGGGTCCAGTAAGTACGCTAAAAATGGGATCAATTTAAGATGTGCAATTTCAAAAAAATCAATGCACATTGACTTTTGGAATGATATATTGCCTAAAATTAAAACCTGGAAATTTCAAACATCAAATAATAAAATTAGGCATATATTTCCATTTAAAAATGGTTGGATAAATAATATAATTTCTATTCAACAACTATGGAAAGAATGCAGAGATGCAGGTTTTGATTATTTGAGAACTAGAGCTCTAAATCAGGACTCATTAGAAAATTTATTTTCAGTTATAAGGCAACACGGAGCTGCTAATATTTACCCCTCATGTGATCAATTTAGTTCAGCACTTAAAACGTCTATTTTAAATAATTTGATATCAAATAAAGTTTCTGGAAAAAATTGTGAGGACGATGATTCCATAATTTTAGATAATTTTGAATCTTTTTTAAATATAGAAGATGAACCTTTGCCAGAGATTAAAAAATATATAGAAAATTTTAGCCCAAACTTAACCGTTTCTTTGGAAAATGAAAATTTTGATGTCCAAGTTACCTCATATGTTGCAGGCTACATTATAAAAAAAATTAGAAATAAAATTGATAAATGTTGCGAAGATTACCTTCTATCAAAAGATATAGAAGATCACCATTCATTTATAGATTTTAAGGAAAACGACTGTAATAAAAGACTGTGTTATCCAACTAAAGAACTAGTTATTTATTTAACTCAAATGTATGATATAAGTACTACTTTTGTAGATATGCATTTTGATTGTGATAATGTAAAAAT